CAAGGGTAGGCACCTAACAGCGGTGAAGCAGGCCGGGTTAGGCGGCGTACTGCGGCAGAATAGTGGGTCCAACGGAGCCGGATCTCGGTAACTGCTCCGGCGAAGCCGGAGATATCAATCCGGGCTCTAGCCCGTGACAAATACGTTGGTATGTTATCATTTGTGCTTCTGCGTGCCGAGCCATTTTCGTTTGTTGGGCCGGAACTAATGTAAGACGCAGCGTTCGCGATTTGGAGTTCAACATAGGGCAGCCAGTAAACATAATGGAAAGAAAGATGGAGTAAATTTTCAAGGCGTCAGGCATGTAACATTGACGGACCAGGCCTAGTGTGATACAGGACATCGTACACGTCGAAATTGAATATCTCCAACCCGCTCTATATCTCTATATCGCTACATAACGGCACGTTCTCAAGAATCGACGAAGCAACTGTCAATCTGTTAGCTGACGTGCTCCACATGTAAGATGGAACATGTGGATGGTGCGTACGGAAATTCTTTATTTGCAGATGCCATTGGTTCTGCAGAAGCCGCAGCAACGCTGGCCGTCGACCTTGCTAATGCATCATTGGCGGGCAGTCAGCTCGCCGCTCTCAGAGGTCGGGTCAACGCCAAGAGGGCCGGCGGCGGCGAAGGCGGCGAAGGCAGTGACGAGGAGGACCTTGAAGTTCATGGTGATGGTGTTTTGGTGGTGTTTGGTTTAAAGATAGTGTTTTTGGTTGCGATACAGTGAATGAATGGTCGAGATGGATGAGTAGCGCAAAAGACTCTTTGAGGCACGCAAAGTAGACTCTTTATATACATCTAAGGTGACTAGTCCGGCCTCGTAGATTTGCGGCCGTAAGTTCTAAACTGGGGTAAAGTCTCTACGCAAATGACCATCGGTATCGCTAAAAGTCTCCATGTATCCTTGGTCTGTGTTTGAGTTAATTAGGGGGTATTCTGTCTCGGCGGGGCTGTACGATCCCGTCGGGTTCTAGTCATTCAACCGACGGGATGTACGGGGTTGCCGACTACGTCGTTCCCTACAGCTTAGAGTCCGTAACAGTCGAAAAATCGCCGTGCATGTCTGCGGAGCCCCGCAGGCGTCTCAGACCCCAGGCCACCTCTAAAGGCAGCGGTTTTATTGATAGAACCTGCGCCACTTAAGCTGTGTCTATGTTTTTGTTATTGAATGTTGATGTGTTGGTGCCGTCTGCTCTTTGAGCAGAGCTTTAAGGCTTCTCTTTTGCGGCCTGGTTGAGTACAGAATGATGAGCTTCATTTTCATCGGGCTGGTGAACTGTTACGGATGGGATATGAACTATGCGAGTGAAGTCTGTCAAACTCGCATTAGGATGGTTCATCTGACTTTCCGGTTACCGCCAACTCGGAAAGACGGCACTCGCAATATGACGATTGCGAGTCAAGAGATTGAAAGCGGGCTGATTCTGAGGCGGATGTTGTCGATCAGTCAGTGCCATGCCGGAACCTCCCTGCAAACCTAAAAATGTCAGCGGACATAATCGGGATGCGCGGCATCCAGATGAACGCCCTTTACTCGCCGATTATTGAACATTTGGAGCTTGCTGTTGCGGCCTGATCCATAAAAGTGTGATTCTCGCTATTGAGAACCATTGCACGGCCAGGCACAGTGCTGGTGAGAAAAAGCTGCCGCAATGGACTCCGAGACATACCGTGAAAAGGGCAGGTTGCTCACGTGGTCCGACGATAATTCCAACAGCGACGACCAGGCTCGTGGGACAAGCCGAAGATCATGGGCGCCGATTACCATCATAGCACTTTCGTGTTCAAACCTTTTCCTCGTCGCTTTATGCGCGTGCCTCGCACTGCGAGGGGTCGGTCAACCAACACCACACACCGGTCCGGACCCACGGCCCTCATGGCTTCCACCACAAAGTAAAGAAACTTCCTCTTATCCCTTTTGATGATTCACAGAAAGGAGAGGGAACAACACCAAGGAAACTTACTAATGTGAGGTGTGACACAGTACCGATGAAAAAGACGCTCATTTCCGAACCTATATATGGAGGCCCGGTTACGAATGAGAGCGAGAAAGCTTGGGATGATTTGATGCCGCGTATGTTCCCCCAGCAACAGGAAATTCCCCATCGCGTAAGTTGACAACTCATTCCAGTCGGCCGAGGGTTCGTCGTCATCAAAAACCAGACGGCGCTTCCTCAGGTGCCCAAGTTCAACGCAACCATGGGCGAATACAAGGGGGTGATATCGGTCTTTCACCAGCTGCATTGCGTGGTAAGTGATTAGCATCCCTACACCTCGAGTCCCTGAATGGAAAGACCCGCGTTTCTTGAAAGGTTTTGAGACATTGACAACTTCAATAGTGGGCAACTCGGGAGGCCTTCTTTAAGTTGCTTCGGGAGGGTAATTCGACCGAAATCGACCTCGGACACCTGAGTCACTGCTGGGACTTCGTCAGGCAAGCCATCCAGTGTCGCGCTGACACCACCATAGAGTGGCAGGTGTCGGAAGAGCTCGGGGGAAGTCTGGGATGGGGCTACCAGCATCAGTGCTATGATTATGACGCTCTGAAGGCCTGGGCGGAGGGCCACAGCTGGGGTGATGACAACGAGAAGAATATCCAGTAGATAATTCTCGAAATAAAGAGCAAGTGGATCAAGACGAACGACCCTACTCGTATGATACTTCTCGAACCAGGCTGTCTGCGAGTGTTTGATTCACAGCTAGGCTTGGACGAGCCTTCCTGGACGTTTGGAAATGGTGATGATAAAGGGAGAGGAATGACAATGCAGACAATAATTGGTCTCCCAACGACCTCCAAGGCTACGTCAAAGACAAGCAGGCCATTTGTGCCTTTCTCAATCAGGAGCTTCAGCACATTGAAGCATCTGTTCTTAAACCCTTTTCGGCTGGGTCTAGCAGGAAACAGACTTGCGATGTCAGCCTAGTCAACCGATCGACCAAGGTTTTACAGGGCTAAGATTACTGCCCTGCCTCGCAAGTAGATGAGGCCATCACCGAGATGGACTACATGCTGTAGATAGTGAGTAAGCAGCATCTGAAGTGGTGATCGCAAGATGCACAAAAACCAGCTGCCATTAATACCCATCGCGTGTCAGCTGCCAATCATCCGCTGTACCAAAGTAGAGAAGACACTGAATGCTCTATTCGTCATCCAAGGCAGCGTGCCTCGACTTCTAGTACGACATAGATGAGAGGTCTAGTATGCAATTCAGGTGATGCAACCTTGAAACCAAACCGAAAGCCCGGGAAAAGACTGAAAATTTGATGAAGGGAAGGGACACATATCAAACACACGAGATGAATTCAGCAGTCAACATGCGGCTCAGCACATCTCCCACAACGGGCGTGGCAAGACTGTGTGCTTGCGTGGGCCGGAGTGCTTGCTCGTCTCCTTCACTGTAACATAAACTACGCGGCGCTCGGGGTTGCCGGTTGTGACAGACCGGGACTCGAGGCCATAGTAGTCGGAGATGGAGTGCGTCAGCCATCGCCTGTAACAAGTTAGCAACTGATCTTCCAATGAAGGAATCCCACGGCGGCGATGTACATACTTGAAGGAGGCACCCTCATCGTCGCCTAGTGAATCAAAGACCATGCCTGTGTCAACCTCCTCGCTGCCAACCTCACGTCTCGCCTTCTTCCAGCCCTTGCCAGCGGCACTCATCCCCTTGCGCCCGACAAAGACAATCTCCTCGTCCGAAGAGTCGCCCTCCGCATCGCTCTCCTCGTTGCGCTCCTTCAGGAAGTTCCTCACAGGCTCCTCCAGAACGCGCACCCAGCCCTTAACAGCAGGTGTGCGCTTGGCCGTCTCACGCAGGTCGCGAGGGACTTCGCCAATAGCAAGACCAGTGGCCGAGCCGTTCTTGCGCTGCTGCTTCTTGCGCTGAGCCTGCAGCTTGGCCGTCTTATCCTCAATGCGCTGGCGGAGGCCGGTGTCCCAGAACTTCGCAATATCGTAGGGGACGACCTGGACGGGGTATGTGGGGTGAACTTCCCAGTCGCTTGGGAGGGGAGGCTGGGCGTTGGGGACGCCGACAAGACGGTCTGCAAAGACAGGCGGAGAGGTTAGTAGAGGACGGAGACGCTAGAGCGGAGAATGTGGTGATGTCATCTGGAGCTGGTAGGCAAGAAAAGGGGTTGACCGACCATTCTCCCATCTCCGACGCTGCCGGCTGCCCTCGTTACCCTTCAGCAACTGCTCTCGCTTCTTCTGGCTGTCCCTTCGGCTCAGAGGCCTGCGGATGGGCGGCTGCTGGACGGCGGCCGCGTCGGTGGCGATAGTCACCGATGTCTTCTTGACCTGCTCGTCGATGTTGATGGCGAGCGGTGTCCCTGTGCCGCGAGCGATCGGGCTGACGCTGAGGGACTCCAGCGCCGAGATTGTCCACGCTTCGATATCGATTGCGGTCGTTGATGTCTGCGAGGGATCGAGAGGGGCGGGAGGGGTCTGCGTCGGTGGCGGGGGAATCGGCTCGATCACGGGGGCGGCGGCCACGGCGGCCGAAGCGTCAAAGTCCTCCGGGGGAGGGACAGCACCGTAGATAGCCATGCTGGGCGGAACTTGCGTTGGATCGGAGTCGCGTGCGCGTTGGAGGTGCGGTCAAACCTCGATGGACGGTCGTCGTTGAGGTAAGGTAGGGTTCAGGGCTGCCGATAAGGGGCGATAAGGGCGCAGCGGCGATCGCGGGGTGGAGGCGCAACTGATAACTGATAAGACGCGCGCGCGGTGGAGAGACGAGTAGATGGGACGGATGAGAGCCCAATGCAGTCTAGATGCTGTTCTAACGAGGAGAGAGCGGATTTCTAGAATGAGGATGCAACAGGAGACAGCTGGCGGGGTGTTGAAGGGGGAAGCGAGGTGAGGTGGAAATGGGCGACGGGGGGTAGTTCGACGCGGACCGGGATCGTCTTAGCTCCGGGGTAAGAGGCATGACACATTCGACTCGTGAGCTTTGGCCAATCAGAACGCGAGCGCAAACCACGTCTTCGGCAGGTGATTCACGGGCCATTTGTTTCCTCGCCCTGATTCACTTCGAGTCATCGCCAGTCATTTGCAAACACTGGCTTTTGTATTAGTACTAATACCAACGAATAGTACAAAAGAAGAAATGACACACAGGACCACTCCCATTTACGCCTCGGACAAATGTGCACCTTGTTTAAGAACCTGAACCGAGTGTCTCGCTAATTGCTCCAGCATCTGTTCGCAATTACGATGCGTACTTATACCAGAATATTCCTGCATCCCCGTGATGATAATGGAGCCAGGTTCTTGCAGTTGAACGCGCCATCTCCCAGCACGGGAACAGGAGAAACACGACATTTTCGAGCAAGTCATTCTGTCAGAGAACCTTGAGGCCATCACCGAGGGCCTGTTGGGCTATTGGGAATCTGTCGCCGGTCAATTGTACTCACAACACTTTGATTTGCTTATTCTTGCAGATACAAGTAAAGCAGAAATGAAGCCCATATAACCAGAATGAAAGCGCCCGTAAGGATTATTGCATCTTCTTGACATTGTTTGAAATGGAAGAGCATCCTTATCACTAAGATTGATCATGATAAAGATTAGTAGCACCCATCCAAGTTTTTCTTCTCCACAGTGTCTTCATCGAGGCATGCGTACTTGAAACATGCCAGGCGCGATGAGCTTTAGTCTAGGAAGCCGTTACGCACCAATATAGGGTGGCTCGACAGATATTAGGCGCCTTGCGAATGGTCCTGCCTTGTTGCTCTACCCTCACATCTTGAGAAAACATGTCCTGACAATCGCACGATCGGCACTAGGCAGGACGTATAATGTCAAATCATCGGGGGACAGAAGTGAAGGAAGATAGTATAATCAAAGTGTCACCGCTGAACGCCGAGGTTCACCTCCACATTGGAAGCTCCAAAGGACTCAAGGTCACATTTTGCAACTGTCGCGTAAAAGGAGGTGCTGCAACAGATTGGAGCTTATTGCATCCTGCCTTAGATAACATTGAAGTGCCTCAATCAAGCCGATTTATACTAATAACTTAGTAATGAGAATTAGAAACACACTGGACCATCATTCATATCGGCACTGTACCTTAGGTAAAGTATAATTAGGATCCGTGGCGCGTTCCAAGCAAATACCATATCAGACAATGTTCGGAACCGTAGACCGTCTCGTATGTGCAAATACCTCGTAGTGGGAGCCAGAGATGATACTATGCAGTTGGCGCACACTGTGTCGGATGCGTTTTAGCTGTTTAGTGCGGTTCTCCGCTGCTGCATTCGTAATGTAGCAAACATCTTGCTTCTCTATCTTTCACCCTTGACTGCACTTTATAACCTAATGAATAAACCACGAGCATTACACGAAGGGGCCAGCTACTCACAGACACTGTGACATAAAGTAGACCTGGCCTTGAAGCTACCAATCTCATAAATTAGGTTGATAAGTCGTTAAGCCTGACAACAAGGCGAAGGGTTCTTTTCTATTTGGGGTTGTCCGCTGCTAAGTGTTTGGGTTCTGTCCATCCTGGGTGCCTTTTATACAATCAAACGGTTTAGAATGCGAAACCCGGCAGTTCCACTCCCTTTTAACCCTCGTATGCCGCCCCAGTCTATAGCTCACTCACCACAACGAAATCAGGTCATCTGTGGTGTGGATCGTCCATTATCAGACATGAGCGCTGAGTAAACTCGTCGAAGCCATCAGACACGCACACAGATAAACAAAAACACATGATCTTTCAATCTTACCCGCCGTCCGTCGTTTCTACCGGCAGTTTATTCACAAGGCAGTTCAAGGACTGCTCTAGCTCCAACAGCATTATCTATGGTTCCCAAGCGGCGTTGGACGACGCAATATGGGCAGCTCATCCCCAAAAAGCGATCCTCGGCTCGTCGTCTCCTTCATTGGTTTTTATCTCAGCAGACCATACCATCAACTCAAACTCCTCAGCAAATTTATAGCCCAGGCCAAGGACGCCCTTCAAGCATGATCGCAAAGCGCCCAACCTCAATAGAACAGACCACGTAAAGCACCACCCACCAGGGACCCTTCCCAGCTCCCAACTCCCGCAGAACTCCAACGTTGCCCATCTCCAACCAGACCAACCCTGCCCATCTTCCCTCAACCAACCCTCCCGAGGTCCTCTGACCAGCCAAACCTACGCCCGAACAATAAAGGGTCTGCCAAGAGCACCCCTCCTACAGGAAAGACCAGATCGTGAACCCTCCCACCAAAAAACAAATTTGATCATCACCTCATCAAAACATCACGAGCCTTCTCTGGTCCCGGCCGCGGTTGCGCATCGGTAATTTGTGCTTGTCTTGTATTCATCTCATCATAGACGGCGTGCCCGGCCGAAGGGGGTACGAACACAGTTTACGCTCGGATCCGGCGTTCGCCAAACATTGACCCCTCGGAGTTATGGGCAGAGTTATCTTAGAACGCCGTAGTTGGGACTGTGATAATTCGATGGTGCGATTTCACAGATCAGAATTGTCGAGAGACAGAGTTTTCAACGGGCAGGGAGTGTCAGAAGAGTGGATGCCATCTGCATAGCGCGCGTGTCACTTGGCTGTCACAACCGGTTTGGCAAGCAGATAACGGCGGTCTATGTGCAATAGAGTTATTCGAAGGGGCTGTTGTGATGCAAAATACTATTAAAAATCCCAATCCAAGGCTAAAAGAGCATAATCCGGCCCGATAGCCGTTCCTTAGTCATCATGCGTGGTGTTGTAGTTTTTGCGCGGGTCTCCGATGCCGCCCGGGCGCAAGAGAGGCCTCGTCTCTCTCTCAACCTGCCTCTCTTCTCTATCTTGCAAGTGCTCTAGCTCTTCTTCTGTATCAGCGTACCTTTCGGGATGGGCCGTGTAGGGACCAGGCAGACCCTGTTCCCAGCCTTCGGAGTAGGTTCTGATGGGGTTTGGCCGTCTGGGCTCGTCGACCGAGGTGCGTGGGGATTGCGGCGGCTCGGCATGATGCTCCTGGAATTCATAGTAGATGGCCATGGCAAGAAGAACGCCCTGCATGAGCGCGGTCAGGACGAAGACGCCCCAAGTGCTCCAGCCCTCCCAGCCCAACCTTGCGAACAGGCTGCCGGCGAAGAGGAAGCCACCAGGGGTTTGAATGCACATCATGGGAATGCTCAGACTGCCAACGTGCTTGATATGGTAGGTCGTCCAGATCTGGGGGACATATTGGATTCCCGCAAGGGCACCGGCCATGACCCCGAGAAAGTTTGCCCAAAAGTCGAGGTGGTCGCGGAGAGCCATGCTGAAGACACCAGTAAGGATGATGACCAGTAGTCCGTGGATCAGGCACACGGAGCCGACCATGATGGCGGTGCCCTTGGAAGGGGGGTCGTCGGCCAGCTCCTCATCGGGGACATTGGCATCCTCGTAGCGGAAGTATACGAGGAAGAGGACGAGGCTGCGGGTGCAAAGTTAGTTTCCTGTGGACGCTGATAGGCATGGAGGACGTACATCAGAGCGAAGGAGATCCATTGCACGCCAAGCTGAGCGATTCCCAAGAGACCAGCAGCACATTCGAAAGTTCCTAGCTCGCTGCAGCACTGGATATCTCGGCGGGACGGTGGGACGGTCAGGATGTTGGCAAAGCCCGCGGTGGCTGAGGTTGTTCCGAGGAGGACGAACCAGGGCGAAATGCCCTCCGAAGTACCTCTGGCGACGATTCGATAGTGCTGAGGGAGGTAGGAGACAAGAAGGCCGACAAGAATGATGCTGGGGAAGACAGAGTTAGCGGGTGCTTGGCGCATTGAGGATCTCCCCGGCGCTTGACTCACATGGAGATTGTCAGGTTGAGGAAGCCAGGAGAACGCAGCTCCTGGCAGCGGTCGTCAAACAGCGTAGCAACCATTCTGGGCACACACAAGGCAAGGCGATTGTGGCTTTCGTTGGTGCTTCACGAGATTTTGACTGTCCAGGCAGGCTAAAGTAGACGGCCGAGGCAGTCAATGTGGGGGGTGACTGAGCAGTGTCGCCGTGCGCAGGTGGTCCGTCGGGTCGCGAAGCTGAGATGGCGGTGTTCCGGGAGCAGGCAGAGCAACAAGATGCACGAGAAAGCGCAGGGCTACCTGAGCATTGCGTAATCGTCGGAAGACTTCAATGGCAACTTGGGGTCACGAGATAAGCTATCACTTCGCCTTGCGTCGGTCGAGCGGTCGGTGATTCGGATGGGGGTCGAAGCCGAAATGAAGGAGGACAGAGGTCGACGGACGGGAACGTTGAGTCGGGGAGGAAAGCTGGGAAAGTCCGCGCAGCTTGGACGAAGCAGTGGTGACGGTCGACAGGAACGAGAAAGACGAAGAGCTGCTGGAGCTTCTCGAGCGTCGGATGCCGCAGCAAAGGAGCTCGCGGCGGCGTAGATGTTGTTTGTGAAAGCTCAGATTGAAGCTGCTGGGGAGGAATAAGGTCCGGATCCAGCGGGGTTGGAGATTGGATGCAACTCTGAGCTGGGGGAGGAGAGGCGGGAAGGTGGAAGCAGATGGGTGTGATTCAGTGGCAGATGTGTAGCGGGCACCTCAGGCAGGTGGGCCGTTCCTAGCGGTGCCCTGGTCGCTGGGAGGTGCCGCTGGTGCCTGGCCTGGTGTGCCTGCCCGCGGTCGGTGTGGTCAACCAATTTGGTGGGCAGTTGAGGTGCTCAATGCTCACCTCAATCAGTGCCCCCCCAGTGGACGGCTCCAGTAAAGTGTTTGCTGTTGCAGTGTGCAGGCGGCAAGTCCCACGCCAATCAGCGCTAGGACCAGGGACATGCGGTTCCCAGTGCCGGCGGACCCCATGACGTCGGGGTCTCAAGCTGGAAGTCACTTCTGCATCGCTACAGTGGCTCTCAGCGCTCTCAGTGGCCCGTCTCGCTGTGCGCCTGCCCAAACAGGCACCCGACTCGAAGCCTGAAACTGCGTGCTTGGGAGAGATCTGTGTGAGGAAACTGCGGGTCTACAGGGAGGTGCAAGGGAAGCTGCAGCGTAAATGCACCATGACCACCACTCTGCTGCAACCCTGATGCGCTGAGCTCTGGAGGTGCCGAGGTTGCCCCATGTCCTCGCCATGATTGGCCCTCTCCCGTCTCGACACACCGCCCGGAGCTGGAGGTGAGAGCCTCGGTGAGCAAGTCAGGTGGAAGGTGAGACATCCTAGACATACCTCACCGAGAATGGCCCCCACCACCAGGAAAGAGCAGGTGCACTGGCCGTAAATTGTAATTGCTGCAGCTCGTTTTCATCCTCCAAGCTCGTCTCCAGTAACTGAACCACATCACAACACATCACCAACACTCTTTTTCTTTTTTGATGATCGACACTTCGGGAAGCCGCCCAGATCTGCACTCTTTCAATCTGCATCACCAGCGTCGTTTGCTATACCTCGCCACCACCGACCTGCGCAATCTCTGCTGCTGCATTTCCTTGATTCTTCAACGCGTCTGCAAAAAAGCTCCCGCCTCACTTTGCGCCTCCAATCACGCCCTCGCTCTTGAGTAATGCTAGCGCATCCCGGTTCACTCCCGACCGCCAACCATGCATCCCGACGGAGATCAGCCTGCCGACTCCATTGTGACGGCCGCCGGATCGCCCAACCAGCCAACCGATCCCTATCCGCCCAACATGGACGTCGTTGCTACTACCGACTTAGCCGCCGCTGACGCTGCACACCAAACAGCACCGCCGTCCAGTTTCTTCCGCCGCGTCCAATGGTCCGCTGACGGTACTACGCTTGTTGCTTCTGCCTCGGACAACCGCATCTCGGCCTACGTTCCGCCGGAGGACCTCCTTGACCCGGCCGGCAGACCCCGGACCCTGAGACCCCAAGGCCACCTCCAGCTCCCGGAGCCCTCCTACTCTACCGCCATTGCCCCTTACTTCTCACTGTCCGAGCCGCAGTCCCAGCTCGCCCTTGTTTCCTGCAAAGACCACCCGCTCCAACTCTATCACGTCTTTCCCGCGTCCGAGTCGTCACCTCCGCTATGCTCCTACAAGCTAATTCGACGGGAGACGGAGGAGTACATCTGCGCCGAGTCCCTCCTGTGGTCTTGGCCCGGAACCCATTTTATGACCGGTTCATCCAACCGACTTGACTATTTTGACGTATCACGGACCGGTTCTGATGGCCCCATTCTCACCATCCCCACCATCCCCTCCAAGCGGCATCTTCTCAAGGGCGGCGGCGTTGGCATGAAGGGCATGGTGTCGTCACTGTCGAGTCAGCACCCTGACGAGTCCGGCGCGACAATCATTGCCGCCGGTACCTGGACACGCTGGATGGGACTGTACGATGTGACCCGGACAAACAAAGCCATTGCGAACTGGAGCATTCAGGGCGTGGCCGAGGATCAATTCAAACACAACGTTGGCGGCAATGGTATCGTGCAAACCGTCTGGAGTCCCTGCGGCCGTTACTTGGCTATCAACGAGCGCCAGTCTAGTGGTATTCTGGTCTACGACATACGCGGAACCGGACAGCCTCTGAGTCTGCTCCTTGGCCGGACGGCTGCGAGTCAGCAGCAACTGACGTGCGACGTCTTCCCGGGCGGGGAGTCAGCCGGGGGCTTCGAGCTTTGGGCGGGAACACAGACCGGAGATGTCTTGGTGTACGAAGGTGTTGGCACCCAGGCAGGCGCTCTTGACAAGTCCTGGGATTGGGCAGCTCATCAATCACCCGTGGGAAGCGTAGGAGTTCATCCTACTGGGTCAGTGGTTGCAACTTGCTCAGGCGCGTGGACGAGCCACGCAGATGGCGACATTGACAATGAGTTGGGGGCTACCGACGACAGCGGCCGTCCACTCTTGGCATCGACACGCATCACCGCCGAGTCCAGTGTCAAGGTCTGGACGTTGGCGGCCAACACTACCGACCCCGCTGCGACCGGACATGGGACAGAATGATTCGCAAGGGAATAGAACCCTTGGACGCCCTTGCAGGCGTTTGGCATCGCGGAACGACAACATTGACGCTAAGTATAAGCGAAACTCATGTTTGTTGGTCACGATGGCCATTCCGACCCGGACAGCGACTTCAAGAGGATGCAGCCAGACCGGCACAGTCCAGCCCGTGAAAAACATGCCCGCGCCGTGTCACTAGAGGTTCAGCATTGGCAATTGTATCACGAATCCTTCTCGCGCGAATAGCTTCGTGGTATCTAGAAGGATTCCGCTGGCAAGCACTTGGATCCTTTCGGCATAGGCTCCAGGGCAATGGTGCGACTGGATGCTGGCTCGCCCGAACAGGTGGGATCGCTCAACGGTGCTTTCGGCTGGCTTGAAGCCAAGATCCACGAATAACTCAGATTGCCTCCTCTTCCTGTAGCAGCACTCCCACACTAGCAGGCCGGATACGGATTCAAATGCCTCCTCTGGCGAACCTGCAGGTCGTTCAATCAACGAGCACGACGACCTGCAGATACAAGAACACCAATGGGCGGCTTTCGAGGCGACTATTCTCAGCTCATCCGAAGTTCTCCATTGTCCAGACTGCCCAGCCACACGGGTTCTATTTTGCCCGGTGCATCAGATGAAATTCTAGAGGACAAGAGCTGGGAGTCGAAACTGGCTCAGGCCGTGTTGTGGGAGAAGAGGTCCGAGGGGTGGTCGGCGGCCTTCCGGCTCAACAGTCGGACGCGATTCACAGGCTGCCTCTGCCTTGCATACCCGAGTTCATCTCACGAACATCACGATTCCACGCATGGCGAGGCCGAGAAATAGGCTTCACATGCCATCGTATTATTGGCCATGCAGACATTCCATCAGCCGAACGGTGAACATCAGCCCAATCCTAGAGAAGACGATCCTGTGTCGTCATCGCCGAAAGACCGATGGCCGACGGATTGACTGAGCAACCACAACGTCAGCTTACCTTGCAGCAAACATTCTCATCAATCTCCTTACCCTCGGTTTCCATCACGATTCCCCATCTTGGCGAGCCCTGAACACAGACCCTCCCCGAAGCACTCAAACAACCCCGCCAGCGTGTCTGACTTGAACGGCGCCGCGACCAAGCGTTCCTTAACCAATTAAACTATTTCCCAATCTGGACACGTTTGTTCCTGACTAGCAGCCCCCATGCTGCGGTCTCAGCCCAGAAATTCGGAATTCGGATGAGAAGACCACCATCTCGAACCCTTCCTCTCCGCCCGCTGTGTAATCGGCAGCTCCCCGTTGGTACTTTGCACCGACTTGCCCATTTTGGCCGTGCATATTCCTTCTCCAGTCGGTCGTGATCGGCTGCACCCTTGGCTGAGAGCGGATAAGGCCCAATTCTGATCGTCGTGGGATTTGCCGCTGCACAAACAAGGTCTTCATGCTATGTCTGGCGCCACAAACGAAACAAGCTTAATAGCGCGGCTATGTTGCGGTATGTGCCGTATCGACGGTGCAAACTTGATATTCCTTGGCCTGGGGAAACCGATTTGTGCCAATCATCTCGACGGACTAACAAGTTTCGACTTCCGGCCGAAAGCGAGAAGACTTCTCTAGTGTCACATAACGAGGAAATGCTTTGATCCTCAACTCAACGCACGTCTCGGCGATGTGATACATGGACGGACTCTGGCGACTCAACTGTGCAGCTGCTCTACCTGCACCTCCCCACGTCAGGAGTCTGACTTGAGATTACTGCATCCAAGCGGCCGGCAATCCGCGAGCCGGAAGCTAAAGAAAGAAGCCTCATCGAACAATCTCTAACACACCTTATATCCCATAAATACAACCGACGATGCCAGCCAATATCATGAACCTTTTTGCAGGCCAGCACCCATCTCTCGCTTTCAGCTTCGGCATCTTTCGCTTCTAGCCTCTGCAGTCCTGACCTTCGGGCGGGGTGTTCGATTCGTCACAGTCGTTTATCAATCCCCTTTTCTTGTTCTTGTTGTTCTTGATTTTCTCAAGTCTAGCAATCATGAAGACCGCGTCTTTCATCACCGCCCTCCTGGCCGGCGTCGCCGTTGCCCACCCCGGCATGAACATGGAGCAGATCAGGGAGGAGGCCCGCCTCCAGAACCGCCAGTCCGGCGGCGGCGGCGGTTCCACCGAACTGATTGGAGACCTCGCTACTCTTCCCGATGCTAAGCTCACCAAGACGGGCCGCGAGATCAAGGCCATCTTGACCCTCCAGTCCAGCGGCCAGGACCAGGCTTCCACCTACGAGGCCCCCGGCAAGAAGAACTCGGCCGAGTGCAAGGCAGACAAGTGCTGCATCTGGAAGTTCATCGCAGACGACATGGTCAAGCAGATGGTCGGCAACGCAGGCCGCTGCAACAGCGTCGCCCGCGCCTCCGTCCGTCTCGGCTTCCACGACGCCTCCTCCTGGTCCAAGACCTCGGGTGGTACCGGCGCCGACGGCTCCATCATTCTCGCCAACGAGTGCCACACTCGCGACGACAACAAGGGCCTCGAGGAGATCTGCGACACCATGCAGGGCTGGTTCGACAAGTACAAGAAGTACGGCGTCTCCATGGCCGACATGATCCAGTTCGCCGCCAACGTCGCCACTGTCGCCTGCCCCCTCGGCCCTCGCGTCCGCACCTTCGTCGGCCGCAAGGACACCACCAAGGCCTCCCCGCCAAACCTGCTGCCTTCCCCCTTCCAGAAGTCCGACGCCCTGTTCAAGATGTTCGCCCAGAAGTCCTTCACCCCCGACGGCCTCGTCGCCCTGCTCGGCGCGCACACCACCTCCCAGCAGCGCTTCGTCGATCCTAGCAGAGCCGGCGCCCCGCAGGACACCACCCCCGGCGTCTGGGACGTCGCCTTCTACGGCCAGACCCTGAACCCCAGGACCCCGCCCGCCGTCTTCAAGATTCCCTCCGACGTCAGCATCTCCCAGGACCCCAAGGTCATCGACACCTGGAAGGCGTTTGGCGCCGGCCGTCGTGGTCAAATGGCATGGAACCAGGTACGCATCTCCCCCCTCATCCCTCTTGTATCCCCATCTCTAACACCTCCCAGGCCTACTCCTCCGAATACGTCCGCATGTCCCTCCTCGGCGTTCCCAACATGAACGATCTCACCGAGTGCACCAAGGTCCTGCCCCCCTTCAAGGGCGCCGACTTCCAGATGCCCGACCAGTCCGAGCTTGACAAGTTCATGAACGGCATCCTCAAGTCGCCCCAGGCCGTCCAGGCGCTCGACGCCGGCAACATCATCCCTCCCACCGCCCAATAGATTGATGACATTTTTCACTTAAAGAGCGCGCATTACACAACATCACGTACATAATGTTTCAATTCGACCTTTTCTTTGCAAAATCATAAGCCTGTATAATATTACATATAAAAGCCAGATGATCTCAATGGCGTTTTCGGTGTTATAATGCATAGAAAGGGAAGCATAACCACAAGGGCCGAGGCTGGCCGGAGCCTGGCGATGCGGCAGTTTGTGTGCGAAAGGGGGAAAACTCCATTAGCCTTGTTATCGGATGAATACTTTCTTGATTGTTTATTCTTCAATAGCACTCAAATTTTAGACTTGCAGGTAGGCATCTGCATGCCCTTCTTTCGGCATTCCAAGAGAGATAAACGACTCACAGACACAGTCGGCCCCTCCCCGAAGAAACTGCAAACGCGTCTCGCGTCTCAAAATCGCCCCAAGAAAGAAAAATGTGGACATGAAATCCGATGTAGATCACATGAGGAAAGTAGGTTGAAAAGAACCTTGATTTCTTCCCGCCCGAGCCAGCAGGTCGTGTCTGCAACGTGATGCGAGCGCGCACGTCCGCACGCACGCGGCGACCACTCCTACTCAAATTCGTCCGAACGGCGCTGCAACAGCCGCAGATGGGTTCGTCGGCTTCCGGGAGGGCGTGCTGTCGTATTCCAGACGCGCACTGACTCTGTTCAACACGTCGTGTCCTCTCTCTCCCAGGTATCGCCCAAAGACCTGTGCCTTTTGCGCGGCAGGCATCCTGAAGAATCGTACGAGTGGTTCTTTTTCTTGGGGCCCAAAACATCCTCTGAACAAGGAGACGATGAGCTGTGCCGCGTAGACGTTCAGTCCCACGTGTCGAAAGAATACCTCCCACTCGGTCTCATCCATCATCAGCATGGACCGTGCGGTTGCGATATTCTCCTTGACGTATGTTGATACCAGGGCGCACGTCCATGTCTCAAGGGTCTTGGGACCGCCTCCAACGTAGATGACTCTGATGACGCAATTGGTGGAGATGCCAACGCCAGATGCGAACCCGACGAAGGAGTTGTAAGAATCAACATTGCTCTTCCCAAGCCGCCCAACATATTCTTCACTGCTGCTTTCCGATACCATGATGATGAGCCGCTGGTAGCGTGGTGCGACTTTGGTCACGCGTTCACGAAGCTTTGACAGCTGTCGTCCGGAGTTCAATGGCGCCTTCTGGCCAACTTGAAGTATGGTGGTAATGATGATGCCAGTTGCTGGAGATGGTATAATGTCGGCTTCAAAGAAGAGCGGAGAAATTGCTGTCGATAGTTGAGCGCTGTTTGGTGACCAGATGGTGTTGTTGTATCGGGAGAAGTCTCGGTCGATAGTTTCTATGCCTGGAAGGCTGTCGATTGCGGCCATGATATTTCGGGGAAGGTTGGTGGAAATAACGATATGGGTTGTGCCCTCTATGGTAAGAACAGGAGGGAGAGGGGCAACTGTACGTGGAAATTGCCGTTCAGGCTGGGAGGTGGGAAGTTTCAGTGAATTCTCCGGGTTCCTTGCTCTCGTCATCGGTGAGCTGGTACTTCGGTCTGGTGTTGGAAAGAAGTGGCTCATCGTCTCCGAGCGGGACTTGTTTGAGGGATGTAGCAGCAAGTGATTGTCCAGGAGTTTGCTTGTAGCATTGGGCTCGTTCTCGCCCAAGAGCAAGCATCCGCTGCTGTCTTTCGTTGCATTTCGACGTTTGGTAGTGCGGCGAAACTTGTGCCCAACAGTGGGAGATTCAAGCTCAGCATCATGTCCGCCAACAAGCTCTGCCAACTTGCGCTTTTTGATGACACCCAATAAGTCGATGGCGGTGCCGTTTTCGAAAAGATCCTCGTCGTCCTCGTAATAGGGCATAGGCAGCTCCTCGTCGTCGTCTTCGCGAAGGATCTTCAGCCCTGACTCCCTACGGACGTAGTCGGCGCTGGTGGGTAGACGGGCGCCGCGGCAATCGAAAATTTGCTGGAGAACACGGTCGTCGCCAACTGTCTCTTTCAAATTGACAGAGCCCAACGACGCGTTGAAGGGTTGCCACTTCAGCTCGGTGTTCTCAGACCGCATCTTGGGCCAAGTTGGCGCCTTCCTTTGACCATCAAATTCGAGGCAGATCCGACGGAACATCTCAGACGCCCCTTTGGCAGGAACCCCAGACCATTGTGGCTCTGGGATACTGAAGTCGACGACCGGGGGCTGGAATCTGGCAATGGCATCAGCAACATGAATCTGCTCTTGCTCCGCCATCCTCGTCAATTCTGCGGTCTTGTCTTCGAGTAACAGGCTGAAGTTTTTTTCAAACTTGGCGTCTGCCTCCTTCATAGAATCGCTTTCAACGTCTTCATCTTTGGGCCCCAGGCATGGAACTGTGTTCAGAAGCGCTCGGCAAGAGGCTTTGTCTTGACTGGCCGATGGAGGCTGTTCAGGCTTGCACAAGATGGGCACCTCCATCTTCAGATCCTGGGTGGGCTGGGGAGATGGAAAAGTATCCAGAAACCGGGGGTCGGATGGAAACCCAATCATCTCCGTCACGTCCACCTCAGGTTGGATCGTTTCCATGGTCATCTCATCCATCAGTTTACCAGCTGTGTCCAAGTCATACTCAATGAGACTGTCGGGATCGGACAATGGCTCTAGTATACAAGCCTCGCTGGTCGGTATGAGTTCCTCTCCCGGCTCCGAGGCAAGTGGCGGTGGCATCAGAGGAGGCGTTATGGATTGGACTCGGTCCTACATGTGATATTAGCGGATTCTCTTCCTCGATGGCACGCGTCAACCCACCCGCTTAGACATCTCGAGGAAGATCAAGTCTTCAAGATCTTTGTTCGTCCACTCTTGATACACAGCTTCGGCCACGTACGTCAGGTCCTCTTCGGTATAGTCGATTTCTTCGGGCTCGGCTCCTCTAGCGAGCTGATCATGGAAATGCCGAGCAGATTTGGGCAGCGCAAGGCCTTCGTCCTTATCCTCATCAACAGGCTCCATGACGAGGGGGTTTGGTCGGCGGAAGAAATCATGCAGCTTCGCCTCAGAGATGGTCTTGCTGCAGGCTTTGGAGTCGTGTCTCGGGTCGGATCGGAGAGACGGGAGCTCCATCTTGCTCACTGCCGTCGCAAATCGACGCTGAGGATAGCTTGCTTCCAGAGCCAGCTTCATCATGTCGGCCTCGTCATCGATCCCGATGATCTTGGTCACCGCATTGTCGAGCTTCCCCGTCTGGAAGTCGGTCTCTGGAGGAAAGACCGGATCAGGGATGGCCAGTGCAGAGAGGTCGGCTGCATCTTCGATGGTGGCAGTAATCGGAAAGTAGGGCGACTTCTGCAGCTGGTCAAAGATGGCTTTCGTCCGGTTCGAGATGTGCCTGTTCGCGCTGATGAACAGGCCTTCCTTACGGGCATATTCTCGTGGACTCGGCTCTGCCTCGTTCATGGCGGTGGATCGAAAGGGCCAGGACCGTGTCTTGATGGGATTGCAAGATTGTTGATATGGACAATAGATGTATTGAAAGAATCGAATGACTGATCCGCGTCTTGGAAAGGGACAGCCGACGACGACACTTTGTTGAGAACGGGAGGAAAGGGTTGGAATAGTTTGGCAGTCAAAAGTGTCGTCATGGTGCAGACGACCTACTTGGGCAAGAGCAGTTGAGCATCTTCCGCTCCATGGGAGGCAGCTCCTGCCTCTCGTGAGTTGAGTTGCAAGTGAGGAAAGAGCAGGACCCCGTGCTTCTGTTCCTTCCCACTATTGACTGGTGCTGCATCTTCCTCCCCTTCCAAACTTCACCTTCACACAAAAACGAGAGACACAGAAAGCAATCACGTCTCCTTGTAACTTGTCGTAAGTAAAGTCAGCAACATCTCCAGGCGGTCGCAAACTGATTCTTCAATATCAACTGTTGTTGCAGGCCTCCAGCGTCTCGGCTCCGATTCTGCGAGTTGGCACCGGAGCCGATCATCACCCTCAACCCCCGACAGCCCCCGACAAACCCCGACTGGCTGATGAACAATGACCGCGCTCTTGTGATTGTGTTGCGGAGGATGCAGCCAAAAGCCGAGCGGGCATCATCTCCGACGGTCCGACCAACAGTCCCCGCTCCGGATAAAGAGCGACAGCCTAACATCCGACATCCATCGGATCTAAATCGTCGATCGGCGCGGTCGAGGTTCCACCAATGCCCCATTTCTCTGTCTCCCGGACTCCATCTCCACTACCGTCCAGTAAACTTCCACTCTCTTTCAGCTAGACTTCCCGCTCCCTCTCGGCTCTTTGTGGAGTTTGCAAGCGACGCATCGGACGATGAACCGTTTAGCGCAAGGGGCCGCGTTGGAGCCGCTGGAGACCGTCGCGACCCTCCGCGTTTGAGGTCCCGTAACGGCGCTGAGTAAGGCAAACAACTGCAAAAGACTGCAAAAGGCAGCTGTATCCAGAGGGACCCGGTCCTTGCAGGAGACGACGACATGCCTATTTCGGGCCCTTTGCATACAAAGTATAAATGGTCGCGATCCGCACCTCGCTCAAAGACTCGGCAACAGACAAATCCACCTTCATCAGATCTGACCAGTCCGACTAACGACGCTTCCCCTGAACCTACAACCAACTGCGACCCGCAAGATTAAAAATGGCGACAAAGCTTGGCGATAAGAAGTCTCTCCGCATTGGAGTAATGCTCGAAGCCGTTCAGCTGAGCGACATCATGGGCATCGACCTGTTTGGCAACATCTCGCTCGAGTACTACGACAAGGTCAAGGCTTTCGACCCAGGCTTCGCTCCTTTCGAGGGGCTCGCGCCAGAGATCAAGTTCTACTTCATTTCCTCCACCCTGCAACCCGCCGAGATGACACCAGGCCTCAAGTTTGTCCCAAACATCACCTACGACGACTGCCCGCGCGATCTTGATCTTGTCCTCATCGGCGGACCTCTCCCCTCCCATAGACCACCTCAAGCCGACCGCTTTATGAAGGAGGCTTTTGTCAAGACCCGCGTCTGGATGACAACCTGCATCGGCTCGCCGTGGTTGGCCAGTGCAGGCGTGCTGAAGGGAAAGAAGGCGACAGTCAACCGGGAGTTCTTGGCGTTTGCGAGGCAGGTACACCCCGACACCGAGTGGCTTGACCAAAGATGGGTTGTCGAGGAGAAGGAGTACGATGGTGAAGGCAAGGGCGAGCTCTGGACCGCAGGCGGAGCGGGAGCCGGTCTGTCGATGATCGTCGAGTACCTCAACCAGAACTTCGATCCTGCTTACGTCAAGAAGATTGCATTGCAAGGCATCGGAATGGAGGAGATTGAAACGAACCAGTTCTACAAGACAATATACGGATCGGGCTCGGTGAAGCCTTGAGTGGCTGATAATGTTTATCCATTTGGTCTCATTATAATACAAGACCTTCATGTCCACGAATTTTAGCGTCCTCAGACGCCGTTGACAGGTCTCTACGTATCTACATACCGAACGAAGAATTCGGGAGAGTCATACCGGTCCCAGCCCTCAGGCACAGTCCTGTCCGCCGCGATCTTCAGCGCAAAGATGCTAAGGCGGTACCATCCAGCCGGAACCCAAGACCCGTCAGCCAACGTACCGTCCCACGGGCTCGTCCAACCGATGGGTCTGCGATATGTCACGGGGTACCCCGCGACATTGCCCAGCGTGATGACCCCAAGCCCGTTGTCCTTCGCGTCCGGGTTCTCCTCCAGCGGTACAATCTCCATGCGGACCTCGGCGCTGCCCATGACCAGCCAGACAAACTGATCAGGCAGCGCACCAACCGGCAAGACCAGATCCGTCGTGTTGAGCAGAGGCTGCGCCCAGTCGGGATGCTCCGCGGGGGTAGCAAATTGGAAGGTGGTGTTGGCTGCGACCTCAGACCCGAGCGGGTCGTCGCTGCGGCTGAGCCAAATACGATTGGAAGCAAGGACAGTGACGTTCTTCATGGAGCCCGCGGCACCGATGTACGGCACAGACAGCGCGATGTCGCCGTCGGCGTTGGTGCCGTTAAGGGCGACCAAGCCGGAGTATATAGGCAGGGAAGCAGCGTTGAGGCCCTGGGGAGGAAGTACACTAATACGAATTTCACCTGTGGCATTCGGCTCGAGGGTGAACGAGGACGGCTCAAAGGTCAGACTGGCGAAGACAGTCTCCAAGTCCGGGGAGCTGCTGCGGTAGATGTCAGACAGCGTGATCGCCGTCAGAGCCGGGACGTGGGAGACGTTGTACGTGGCGGGCGTTTCGCCGACGTTGGTGACCGTGAAAGAGGCCTCGGAGACGAGATTGTCGGTGTCGTTGAAGGAAAGGCCGGCGACGTTGACGACGGATGTAGCGTAGGCTGCGTCGTAGGCTTGAACCATGCCGGCGCCCTGTTGCGGGACGGGGCCGAGTCCGGCATCAATGTTGGGGACACCGTAGTTTTGGGAGAGGCTCGGTTTTGCGGTGGATGCGAGGAGACGCTTGATCAAGTCGGGGTCTCTTGTTCCTCGTGCCTATTGGTGTCAGCTAAGTTGTATTGATGCCTGTTATCGTGTTTTCAACGGCTTACCTGGGAGACCAGGGCGACAATGCTAGCTACAAGAGGCGTCGCCATCGATGTTCCAGACGCTTCGGCATATTCACCAAGGGCCACCGGCCAAGTCGATAGAATACCAGCCCCGGGCGCACCGAAGCTCGGAGCGAGAGTAAGCTCGAAGGTTGGGCCCCAGCTCGTGTAAGCGGACACCGTTCCGGGGCTGTCCGCACCTTGGCTCTGGTATGAAGAGACGGAGATGACTCCATTGCCGGTGCTCGGCGTGCTGATTCCAAACAGACCCTCGGTGCCACCGACCTCGTTGCCTGCTGCAAAAGTACAAGGAACGCCGGCATCCACGATCCTCGCGACAGTAAGGGCAAACGCCTCACCGGCCCATCCGCTTGGTCCGCCAATGGAGCCGGTGATGATATCCGAGCCATCCTCAAAAGCCTTGATGACACCGGCCATGAGGACATCACCCGTCGTCTGGCCGTTGCATGCAAAGGTTCGGTACATGCCCAACTTGACATCGGGGCTAGCACCAGTGAAGCCCATGGGATTCTCCATCGCCGCAATGATGCCGGCAACATGGGTGCCGTGGCCCAGGCAGTTCTCAAACGGGTCATCGTCTGGTACCGGGGTATTCGTGCCGTCATACGAGTCACCAACGATGTCCTCGCCGTACTCTACCAGACAACCAGGCCCGAAACAGCCGCCTAGGGCCGGGTGGGTGTAGTCAATTCCAGTGTCGACGATGCCGATCTTGAGACCTTGGCCGGTGTACCCCTTAGCACGGAGCTTGTCAACCTGGGTCATGACATGAGGCGGCCAGGTATCGGTCGAGTTGGCCTGGCGCTTGTACTTTGAGGTGGTCGACTTGTCCTTTCCAGTCCAGGTGATGTCGAGCTTGGGCACAGAGATCAGGGGCACAGGCCAGAGTTGCTTGACCTGCACCAGGCTGGCAATCTTCGCAGCCGTCTCGTCGTTGGCGTTCTCGACATTGACGGAGACGCCCTTGAAGATCTTGGAGTTGAGAGACAAGCGCTGTGATACTTTGGCGAGGCCTGCTTCCGACTCAAGCTTTGTCATTAGACTGGCGGCATCCTGGACAGGTGTTAATATCATGTTTGCGGAAACCCTAGATCAACTAACCTGATCATCGGCAAGTTCGAGGATGAATGCGCCTGGGACTGTAGTCTTCCCAATCGTAGGCGCAACCTCGTCCCTCTTCGAAGAGGCCGAGACGAGAGTCGCGACGCCGGCCAATGCCGCGACGGAGGCTTTCCAGGCAACCATTTCAATCGATTTTCTTCGCCGACTTCAGACCTGAGAGCCTTGCAGATCAGGGCCTTGATCGCATTGTACCTGCATCTGCCGACCCCTTTATAACTTCCAGCTTACACCACCGAACATGCTGTGATGCCCGTCTTGGCTTCTGAGGTTGCATCAAGCACTATCGCCATGCCGCCGTAGACCCACCAACCCATCCCAATCTCGACATCTCGGATGGACGAAGCGACCTCGATGCGGGGCAATACGAGTCGGCTTGAGAGCAATTGAGCAAGATAAGCAAAAAAGCTCATTGCAGGCGAAATCTTGCGCAGCAATATCAGGGCAATCACGTCCGCGATGGCTGCATTCGATGGGATTGTTGCAGCGGCCGCTGCGCGGGTGGCATCATCGGACTCACGGGGGACGGGGGTAGAAGATGGAAGGTGGTATTTTGGAGAACCCTGGCGCTGCATGCGCTCGAATGGCTGCGTGATCTTGGCGTTTAGGGGAGAGAATGCCCGGTTGGCGCGAGGGGCTGCTATCTCCGGGCTGGAATAGTAAGCTTATTTGCTGATCGGCGTGTTTTGTTTGCATGAGTGAGGTCCCCTGCATTGTCGTGTATCTCGTTCTCGCTTTGGTGGACATGTGAATGCTTGGGAATTGTTCAGTCCAGATGAGTTCATCGATTCTCAATTGACGAGATAAGCTGTCCATCAGTTCTCTACATGAGACGGAATATCCGTCCTCATAGGTGACGGTGAACCCCAGAATACACATTACGCTGTTGCCACTGCAGACAAGCTGCTCAGATCTGAGTTGCGTTGGTCGCCGACAAAGCTCCCGCAAGATACAGCTTATCCAGCGCATCAGCCGCGGTGACATTATCAACCTTCAGCCTCAACCAGAACTGATCCGTGACACTCTCGTCATACACCCACTCATTTGACCCATTGGTAAAGACGTGGTTGTACCCAAACTCATTCCCGTACTCAAACAAGTCACCCAGGCCCTGGATCGCATACACCACCGTAAGCGGGTCCCACGACTCCCTCGGCCGGTAGAAGTTGTAGTACACATACGCCTGCCGCACCGGATCCGTCGCCGGGCCCTCCGCCAGCAGCTTCGCGCCGGACAGCACCACCGACCCGACCTCCGTCCCGCAGAACACCACGCGCCCCTTCCAGTTGTTCACCACATGCGACGTCGCCGCCGGATTGTCCCCGAAGAAGTTGAACTCGCGGCCGGAGGGGTACCCGCCGCCCATCACCACTAGCTGCTCGACCTTGGCCGCGATCAGCTGCGGGCCGGTGAGGTTCGAGTAGCGGTCCGCGGTAGAGTTGAGCAGGCCCGAGAGGTTCTCGAAGAAGCCGATGGAGGCGATGGTCACGGGCGCGTCCGCCTCGGCGAGGAGCTTGCGGTACAGCGCGACGGCGTCCCAGGCGTCCTCGGCGGCGCCGAAGGGCAGGGATCCGCCGGAGTAGTGGTAGGAGATCTTGCTGGCGTACTCGCCGAGGTCGTAGGCGAAGGTGTCGAAGAAGCTCTCGTTTGTAAGCGGGCGCCGGGCGCCGATGGGCACGGCGGAGTGGTTGTAGTGCGCGAGGATGGCGGAGGTGGCGGTCACGGAGTAGGAAGAGGGGTAGTTCACGTTCACGCCGAGCAGGTTGACCTCCGGGGAGGTGGCGGCGATGAGGAGCGCGCCGGTGTCACTGTCGCGATGTCAGGAATGATTTTTCAGTGAGACCGTTAGGAGGGGGATCTGACTCGCAGTCACTAAAAATGTCAGTGTCGATAATGAGGTTTTTGCGGGCTGCCAGGGCCGGCTGCACCAGGAGCGCGCTGAGGGCGATTTGCAACGTTGAGGCGAGCATCTCGTGATAGTCTCACCGGGCGCGTCGAGAGGGACTTGACCGGCGATCTTCAAAACTTTTCGGATGAACTGGTGTTTGGGTACTTGTAGCCCGCCATTGCTTCTTATCTTGTTGGATAACGGTTGCCGTCGTGTCGGGCGACTCCGATGTTAGGAGGGAAGTGGAGTCGAGTAATTTTATTTTCTCGATGATTTCCTCGGGGAAATTCATCAATGGCAAGGTTTACCGTTGATGGATAGTACAGGTAAGAGATAAGAGATCGATAACATACTCATCCAGAACAGTATGTTTACTACCGGGAGACTTTGTCATTGAAGTCTTCCAGGGCTGAAAGCAGATCGAACATGAGCTTGAATCCTACACAACGCTCAAGCACCGCCTGTGGTCATCTTGATAATGTCGCTTACCTGTGTTCTGGACCTCTGCCTGAACGACTACCTAGAGCGTTCAGGGTAGAAGAGACTTATTCAGGCTTCACCTTTAGTTCCCTATTGGTGGTGTAGTATGTTTTCGAGACATACATGAACAGCAGCCGTTCGCCAACATCCACTATCCTGCGGTACGTATCGAACATGAGCGATCAACGTGGGGTAGACGCACTGGCATGCGGGACAACAGCTTCAAACCTGGAACTCAGCAGATTTTTTGGGGTATGTAGTCATTGTTAATAAGCCAACACACGTCGGATACAGCAGGCCTCACAGAAAAGGCATTGTGCAGCATCTGCCGAGGTTCAATGCAAGTCTGAGCTTGATCCCCCTCAGGCTTCATGAACGGTCTCCTTAGATTCCTTTTCACCATCTGTTCTCTTCTTGCTTCAGTCTCAGCCCCGACAACTAAAGTGACGAGGAATTATTCACGCCAAACACTCCAACATGCCATCGCAATCGCACGAAGCTCCGTGGGTCCCAATCGCCCGCCGCAAACAAGCCGAGCGGGCAGCCCGCATCCCCGCAAAGTGGCACATCCCAGCCAGCGTCATCCCGCGAGATCCACCTCATCTCCGAGACGGCCCCCAAAACGTCCTGAGCGTCCCCCGCCAGTTCCTCTCCGGGCTCGAGATCTCCATTACCGAGGGCTACACCATCGAGAGACTCGTCAAAGCCATATCGTCGCGGGCCTTTACCGCCGTCCAGGTCGCTGAGGCATTCTGCCACCGCGCGGCCATCGCCCAGCAGCTCACGAACTGCCTGACCGAGCCTCTCTTCGATGCTGCATTGGAGCGCGCGGCGTTTCTAGACAGGTATCTCAGCGACAATGGCAAGCCTTTCGGTCCGCTTCACGGCCTCCCCGTCTCCGTAAAGGATACGTTCAATGTTACTGGCGTCGACTCGTCGATGGGATTGGCTTCGCTGTGTCATAAGCCAGCGGCGGAGAATGCACCTTTGGTCAACCTCCTCCTCTCGCTGGGATGCGTGATCATAGCAAAGACGAACATTCCCCAGACGCTTGCTAGTTTGGACTCGGTGAACAACGTCTTCGGCCGGACCATGAACCCCATCAACCGGCTCTGCACTGCGGGCGGATCCTCCGGCGGCGAGGGCGTCCTAGTAGCTATGAAGGGCAGCATGATTGGCATTGGCACCGACATTGGCGGCAGCATCCGCATTCCGGCCATGTGCAACGGCGTTTACGGGTTCAAGCCATCTAACGGGCGCGTGCCGTACGGCGGGCAAGTTCGCACTGGGTTTGAGGGGATGAGTCGGGCTTCAGTGCAAGCTGTCGCTGGCCCGATCGGCAGAAGTGTTGAGGACATTGACACCCTTTTGAGAGAGATCATGCCGTGGGCATCATCATGGGGCGAAGACTGCATGCCGACGCCGTGGTCTCCAACTCCGCGCAGCATGAAGGCCTCAGGAAGTGGGAAGAATGGCGAGCTCGTCATCGGCGTCCTTCGCGGCGACGGAAACTGCGTTATTCATCCGCCGATCGCAAACGTGCTTGATGAAGTTGCCGCTTCCCTTGCGCACACAGCCAACATCAAGGTAGTTCCGCTTGACATTCCGAAAGCGCTCACCGTAGCGCAGTCCGTCATGAACAAGCTCATGGGCGTCGACGGCTCAGTTCCGATGCTTGACATGATCGAAGCAACAGGCGAGCCCTTGGTGCCATGGACAGCGGCCCGAATCAAGAGAGGACAGCCCCAGCCACTCACACGCGTAGCCGAGATTCAAGCTCAGCGGTCACAGATTGAGCGTGAGATGCTCAAAATCTGGGTTGAGGATGATGAGTACGGTCGCCGTACGCAAAGGGTTGACGCGATCGTGTGCCCCCTGGCGCCGCATCCTGTACCTCCCATTGAAGGGTATAATGCGGTCGGGCTCACTAGCAGCTGGGTGCTGCTCGATTATCCTGCAGGTACCGTGCCTGTGCGAAATGTGGAAGAGAGTGATTTGGAGCTTGGAAAGCCACAGGATGGCAAGGCGATTAGCAGCTGGGATGAGAGAAATCGGGAGCTGTGGGATGAGAGTAAGATTGATAGACGGCTGTACTTGGGGACGCCACTGAGCGTGCAGATAGTTGTTCCCAGGCTTCAGGATGAGAAACTCGTTGAGGTTATGGGTTTGGTAGATGCGGCGTGCAAGGGATATACTGGAAGATTGAAGCTGAAGTTGTAATAGTCTTGTGCAATTAGTTTGTCTATACCGATGTCACTATACCAAAGACCCCTGCACTTGGACTGGGCATCAACTCAAGACAAACGCCCATCGAATGGCATGTACGGCTCCACAAAAGAAGCCATCGCTCCAGCGCCGGACCCAAGATCAAACCCGTTCATAACCGTGTCCCAATCCTGAGGTGCCATTATGTGATCATAAGCCGAAAGACCCAAGTCACCTAGAGGAAGTGGGAAGTCACCCGCAGCTTGCTGATCATACATACAAGCAGGGATGGCCGGTGCTTCCGGAGGCGTGCCTTCTAGAACCGTCCGTCTGGCAATGGAAAAGCTAGCAAGCTGATGAAAAGTCTTGCAGACGTTGTAGAGCTTCATAGCGGATGGCGAGCTGGTCGATGTCGGCTCTAACGCCAATACGGTGGCTGCGAGAAGTGCTAGATCGTCTGTAGAAGAGGTCGCGATGGTGTTTCCGGCTAGAACAACAAAAGCAGCAAACGGTAGCATTGAAAACATTCTGTCATCTTTAGAAATTATCCTATAAAAATGATTCCGCAATTTTACGGTTTCAACTTACATGTTAAGCGACATGGCCCAACCTGTCTGGTTATCATTGCCCCAATCGTTAAAGGCTTCTACCATTGTTGTCAAGGTCTTCCGGGCTGCGTCGATGCAGGCAATATTGCACTGAAGCGGATTCGAGTTTTGTGCTTCGCATGGCACAATTCGATATGCGATCGTGACCAGGCTGTACATGATCATATCGAAAAGCATTGCTGGAGCTTTGTAGATGTCATTTGTTGGGGGACCATCGTGAAGCGCCTTAGATCATGAATTTCAGCAATTGTTTTCAGCAAAATTGTTTTTCTCCGATGTACCTTCTTAATATCTTTGTTCTTTTGTAGAATCTTTATGGCGAAGGCCTTCGCTGTCTCGATCCTGCTCTGCTGTGGTTGTTGAAGGGCCGAAGCCGAGAAGAGCTGGATGTGCATGTCGCCAACGATTATGGCATAATCTACGTAGCCAGCATAAAGACTAATAATTATCACATTAATATCAACCTAATAGTTGCACATTATCACCACTGGTGACTTACTGTACCGGAACGCCAGGAACGTAGTCGTCCGGCACCGTTGGTTTCGGCGTCGAAACGTCACATGGATGGATAGACGGTGAACGCCCGAGGGTAAACGCCATTCCTTTATCATGGATATAGATGTGCCAAAAGATTTGCCGCTCCTTTGAAACCCTTGGTCCCTCTCTCGGAAGACGGTGCCAGCCAAGATCAATGCACATCCTGGAGGCGGCTGATATCATTTGCCAAGCGAGGGCGCTTCGTCCGGACTTATTGCAAAAGGTGTACTGATGCTTCAGCAAGACAATAGGGGTGCCAAGAAGTTTAAGGAACATACCAAAAGAGCCAGGGCTTGGCAAGCTTCCATCGACGGGTCATTGCAAAGCCTCAAGGACTGCATAGCAGCCTCAATGTTATCCTTCAACTGCTGTGAGTACTCATGAATATTTGCGTAATTGACGTCGATCTGTGTGTGAAAAGGCTGCTTCAAGTTCAGAAACATGTAGAACAGACCAACGTTGACGATTATCCATGACAAGATGGAGTATTCATTCACTGCGAAGTAGACCCGCTGGCAAAACTCAGTGAACTCCTGCTCGTCCACGACTGAACAGTCCACGAAGAATCTCTGCTTCTCAATTTGCGCTAGGCGTAGAAGCTTGAGGACTTGGTCGATAGGAGGAAGGGACCTCCCCTCCAATTCCGGATATTGGACCTTGAACGGCGAAGGTGAATTCCCGTTGGAAGGTGGACTGCTCTCTTCGCTGTCGGTAGTCTCGTCGATCATGTGTGTTGTGGTGGTGAACGTTGGGTCGCCCATAGTCAACTCAAGACTTGATGCCGCGTCTCTCAGTGCATCCGTGACCTTGTGAACGTGTGCTTTGAATGATGAGTCGCCTCGATAGCCCTCCGACATGATAGCAATATTTGATGGGTTGCTGCTGATGTATGATGCTGGAGAATCCTTAGGCGAAGGGCCTGACCCTTTCTCGTTGATCTCAAGGAGCTTCTGAACAGCTTGTGAAACCTCGCGGAGGGATCGATCGACGTTTTCCATGGCCTCATCGTATCGAGGGGAGATGAGAACCCGCTGCCGCCTCTCAGTGGCGCGATGAGATATCCGGCAATTGAGACCGGAGGCGATGCAGCTAGAGCATGGTGCCTCGCGATCGCATTTCGTCTAATATGTGGTATCAGTGTCGATGCCTCGACAATGGGGCGTCATCAACTACCTTTCGGTCTTTACATTGGTCGCACTTTCACAGATTACCGGTTAGCTCCGGGTCTCGATTGAGTATGGGGTTTCTGACGCCTCACCGCAGGCCGTTTTCCGCTTGATGTCTCCATTTCTTAGCTTGTAAGGGGCGCGACCGTTTAAGAGAGCAAATATATACTCAAAGTTGAAGAAGATGAATGCGTGGGTCGCACGTTGTCTTTGTCAAACCTGTGTTCAGGCATATGCGCTTTATCCATCTCCAACCTCAACACTGCTGCCTGTTTGCCAAAAGAGGGGCACAGTACGCCTTACAATACTTATCCGAACGGTCGGCCGCCATAAGGTCTGGATGTACTGCCTTGATGATTGCCACAAATACTGCAAGAATAGCGACCAGAGGACTGTGATTGGACCGCATCCCTGTCTGTCTGTCAGAAATGGTGTCCAGCCTCGGTCGGGGAGAGCCGAAAGTAACACCGTTTTCGAGATGAGAGGCGTCAATGAGCTTTGGTATTGTCTTAGTGCATTACCTATTCGTGAATTCGGAGGTCGTTCCCAGGCTCGTACAGGTAAGCCTCCGTCTCAAAACTCAAAATCAACTACCATGAAGCTAGCAGACCAGCCTGAAGTGAATGTCGCCGTACTGACAAGGGAACTGAACTGTCCTACATAAGATCTCACTTCGCGCTGGAACCAAAACTCACATCGCGCGTCAGTGGTACCATATTTCTCTGCGTTGTCTTTCAGATGCACCAAGCTCGGAGGGCCCAGGAAGTATTCAAATCTCGCCTCGAAAGCGGCGAATAAACATGTTTCAAGGTCATCTGCACCTTCAATAAATCCTCTGATTCCATGCAGTTTGACTGGGTATCAACCCGAGCTGCAAGCTTAGTCCGACTGGTGACTTAACGGGATCTACTAACAGTGTTCCCGTTCCACGTCCCCCCGACCAGCTGGACATTGTTGAGAAGCACTGTCACCAAAAGGGTAAACATGCATGCCAAGGGGCAAACTGAGCAACAAGAACCGCAATGGGATCCAAACAACAAATACATGCGCTCTCCTCCATTCTTCATGGGCGAACTCAGACGATCTTTCTTCCCAAATAGGCAAATTTGCTTGTTTGTCACCACTACCTTACGTCACGTCATGTGGATTTACAGCTGATGATTCAACGATGGGTCGAATCTAGGCAACGACGTTCCTAACCTTGATTCTGCCATGCAGTCGGCAGGAATGACGGACTAATCGGACCAGCTCATTCGAAACGCCAACGACTCTATTGCAGGGCGACACCTCTCTTTAGGACCCGTTTCGGGCCCTCGGGCCCGGAATGCCACGCTGCACCCGGGAGCTCAGCCCCGCAAGGCTGTTCACAACTGATTGTTCGAGGGCGCGATTGGCCTATTCGGGGATCCTCTGAATGGGCGTGTACCATACTGAATGGGGAGAATGAGACCGCAATGGGTGGTTTTCGTTGCGAACTTATTGCATTTGGATTTGCGCCGCTGGACTGCATGTCATGTAAAGTGGTGTAAATCCTTCGGCTCTTAAGAAAATCTAGTATACTAAGTGTTGTATGCAATTGCCTTATGCCCGTATTCGCGGACCCGAGGAACCGAGAACGGGATTTGGAATGCGGCTGAATGCAAACAAAACCTTGTCGGCGATGCAAGGCCAGTATTTAATATTTAAGTCATGTAGTAGCCATGCTCTTGATTCGCCTTTCGTTGCAGATTCAGTAACAGCATTCTCCTTTCAAGGTTTCCTAAGATTAAACGCATTCATAATTGCCTCTATTTTTTCAAATTACGCAAATAATGCTGCATCATATCGTCAATCTCGGCATTGTGGTGGGGTTAGTTGCGGCGACAAAACACGTCTTGTCTATTAACGGGACAACGTCAGAAATCTTTAAAAGCGGAACGCCTCCAGTGAGTAAATTTCCATCAATCACGTTTCTACGGGGGCTAACCACGGCGAGTGTGACGCAATCATTGCGGCTGGTCTCAAAGACAGGTTGCTTCTTCCAGCAGATTCTGCCTACGAAGATCAAGTCAACACATGGTGGGCGAACAATGCGCGGCAACATCCCTGGTGTATCGTCCTCCCGCAGGGTGCCGATGAAGTTTCTCTCACTCTCACAACCTTACTAGATACCGGATATGGGGCTGGCGATTGGCACATCGCAGTCCGGAGTGGGGGCCACGGCTGGCAACTCAACAACAACATCGAGAACGGCGTCACCATTGACCTCACGCACATGAACTCGTCTGTCTATGACAAGGATGCGAATGTGGCTCGTGTTGACACTGGTGGCCACTGGCAGTACGTCTACAAGGACTTGGACGATCAAGGTGTCGTGGTTGTTGGTGGCCGCGATGGCAATGTTGGCGTCGGGGGGTTTCTCCTTGGTGGGGGCACCTCCTTCTTCTCTCCTGCTCGAGGATTCGGTGCCGATAACGTTGTGAATTACGAAGTTGTCCTTTCCAACGGTACCATTGTCAACGCCAACAAATCCAGCAACGCAGATCTGTGGAAATCCCTCAAGGGTGGCGGGCCCAACTTCGGCATTGTTACGCGATTCGACCTCGAAGCGATGCCTACACGGAAACTTCACTACGAGGTTCGCTTCTTGCCCGTAAACGCAACTGATGCAGTCATCGATACCCTAGTCGAGTTCGCTGACTACGACATGTCCATGGCGGACAATGCTCTCGTCACATATCTGACGTACAACAGCACGCAGAGCACGGAAATTATGCTTGGTACCATATTCGTTAACACAGCTGGCGAGGACAACGTCACAACTGCTTACGACAACCTGAGGAAGATTCCTGCCCTTTTGGAAAGCAGTGAAAAGAAGACCCTGGCCGAAGCAGCAGCAGGATCGCAAGTAGGCGGTGGAGTATGGTAAGTCTTGTCCATATTTTCCTTGGGTGCGCATTTAGTGTGCCTCACGGCTGACCGTAAAATCAGGGCCTCTGGAGCCACACTTCTGTACAGAAATGATAAGTCGATACTACAATACGCTGCCAAGACACATGAGAACTTTGTCAAGTCTCTACAAAACTCGATTGGAGAGGATGCATTTGATACTATGATCTTTCTTCAACCAGTCACCAAGGACTACGGACGAATCGCTCAGGAAAAGGGTGGAAACATGCTTGGACTGGAGAACATGGCTGGAAACGCCGTAATGTGGACGGCCGCCGTGTTTGTCAAGACAAACGAGGCCGATTTCGCCATTGCCGAGCAGCGTCTAAACGAAATGTCGAGCTTCATGAACGACTTCGCAGAGTCTATCGGTGGGGCTGAAGATCTGGTATACCTCAACTACGCCAGTTCACGTCAGGACTCGCTAGGAAGCTACGGTGCCAAAAGCCTCGAGTACATGCGCAAGGTTGCGGAGAAATATGATCCAGAAGGCATTTTCCAGACGCGTGTTCCTGGAGGGTTCAAGCTTTCAAGGGCAGCTTAAACGGCTTGCCAGGAAATTACTTGCTTCCTAGTAGTAAGGTTCTGTGGCATTTACCTCTTTGTATCCGAGAGGACTGTGATATTATATTCAAGCGCGGATCATCCCGGTATCTTAACTAGGCAAAAGTGTGTATTTAAAGCCAGTCAATATAAGAAACGGTCCGGCGTATAGATATTGAAAGATTTAACATCGGGAATGGGCCTGAGCGCAACAATGCTACTGCCACCTGCTTCACCAAAGTCTTGTAAGGTCGCAAGCTCAGTGATGTTATGAACAATGCTAAGCTCGGACACAAGCCTCAGGGGCCATTAGAACTGAGGAGTATAGTCGTTGACGATGCCGAAGATGAACTCCTCGTAGTGACCACGGCCCTCAAAGGTCTCTTGGCCAACAATGCCACCCTTGATAAGACCATTAGCGCGCTGGTAAGCGCCCTTCTCATCCCTGACGATAAGCTCAGTGGTGATGTCCAGCGCCAAGGTTTCGCCGGTTGGCAGTGTGTAGTTGACCGTGATGCCCTCGGTCTCGAGCAGACCAGTGACAGGAGGCCAAGCAGCCTTGTCTCCCTTCTGGCGGACGACCATGCTATCAAGGCTGCAGCTGACCAAGAGCACCTCGCCATCCTTGACGACGTAAGAGCGGCGGCTCTCGTTGCCGTTGTAGTCGAGGAGGTTGTACCAGAGGACTGAGTAAGGTCCAAAGCGGCCGTGACCCCAGTCCCAGTAGCGGGGGCCGTCGATGATGGACTGGTTTCCCCAGTTCTTGTCATGGTATCCTACTCCATCGGTGAAGCTGATAGCGGTGTCCTTGACTGTGAGGTCGACGGTCGTGTCGGCGTCGGGAACTGCGTTGGCCCAGTAAAGTCCAGGGAGGAGGTTCTGGTTGGCACCAACAGCGCCGTTGAGGTCGCAGGGGTAGTGGGCGGGTGCGGTCTATTTCCGTCTGGTTAACAATCTGAAATATAAAGCAAAATTGGTGGGAATGCGAAAAAGACTTACGGATTTGAAGGTAATGTTACCCTTGATATCCATGACGGAAGAGTCAATGTTGATGTGGTATTCAACATCAGGCTTGTCCAAAGCGGAACCATCGAAGTTGCCAACTCCCTTCCAGTCACCAGTGATACCCTTAGGTCCATTGGTGAGGGTGACGCCCGAGTCAGCCAAAGCTTCATAGTAGAAGTCCGTGCCGTTGGCATAGACACCAGAAACTTGAATAGCGAGAGGGTGAGGGTATTGCTGGAATTCGCCAGTGTTGAAGAAGACAATGTTGAGAGTCTGGTTGGTGGCCTTGGAGAAGACATCGAAGTACCAAAAGTCGGCAGACTTTCGCGCAGCCGGCGTCAGCATCTTGAAGCCATCGAGGTTGCCAGCCACAGAGAGGTGCTCGACGGAGACAGTGCCATTGAAATACTGAGGGGCGAGCTCGAGGGTTCGAGTAGTGTCGTTGATGGCAGCTCCGAGAGAGCAGCCGACCATGGCGGACGCCGCAAGAAGTTTGTTGATGCCCATGATTTTGGAAAAATTATGATGTAGAGAGCGAAATACTAAAGATTGAATGGTTGAACGAGTGTCGAATAGTAGAGACAGATGATGCTGTGACTGGAGGAGAAGAAAGAAGAATCGAATCCCATTGAAATAAATCGTCCCTATTTATGTTGTCACCGCAGGTAGAAGATGTCAACTCTTGCTGCGTATCTCCATCTTTTCTCGGTAGTCTTGAGCTATACGAAAACGCGGCAACAAGCAAAGCCCTTCATCATAGCTAGTTTGCCTCATTGGCTCCATGCTAGTTAATGATACTCCCTGCCGCGGATTGGATCTGTGGGGTCGATGATACGGAATCGAGGCAGTGTTCCGCGTATTTTCAACGGGATCTCCGCGATCTTAACGTCTCCCATAATCTCCAAAGCTATGCATCGCTGTCAACTTACAGTGACAGTCAAGAATTTGACAACCCCTACTGGGCGCAGTGGTCAATACTCGGGTTTCGCGTTCAAGGATGCCGCGTATTCGTATAACTGGCCAGTGCGCTATCCGAACACTACGAGCCACATAGCATGAACTTAATCCCCTTTTCGAATGCAGTTATTGAAGAAAGGCTATTACTACCACTGCTACTTTAACCAGCAATAGCAATTACAGCTTTATAAATTCTATCCCCTCTAAAAGGGAGCTTCACATCAAGAGGTAATCTTCCTCATCTGGTTATTATTCTTATCCCCACGCTTTTTCGTAGTGGTCACGTTAGTTGGTAATAACCTCCTCCTTCTACACTCTCGTATGAACTATTCATATTCTCTGGGGTCGTTTAACAAGCTAGCACGGTAATAAGTATCCTCAAAGGATAAGAAACAATATGTATTTCAATATTAAAAGTTAGATTCGCTATGCAAGGCTTTAAGTAGTGACTGTTCATCATTGAGTAGCTTACTATACTCTATAGTATGAAGATTTCTTGCTCACGAAGGCCCCATTTAACCCAATCTTTGCTGCCCTTCTTCCTCCCAATGATTATGGCACCAGTCAATGGACGTGTCTGGCCAGGAATAGCAACATCTTCTTGAGAGTCAACAATCAGAGCGCTTCCAACAATCCTGTAGTGCGGCTGCCCTCCCCCTGGTGGATTGACTGTGGGCCGCAGAATGAAATGAAAACCACAGCCAAAGACGATGGCACATACGTCGCCTTCCGCTACTTGGGTGTACGCCATACCGAAGAAACCACGATCGGTGAAAAACGGTGAGCCCCCCTCATTGCGTTTCAAAACTTTGTGAAATATGGGGAACTCCTCTTCGCATGCCTTGAGCAGAGAAATGCCGTCGCAGCTTTGCAATAAATTGACCAAAGCCTGCCTCTCGGCAGCCCAAGCAGTGAAGTCCATGTCAAATGGTATGCTTGCTTCACCCAGACAGTCGATCATGACTGCTAGCCTCTGCTCGGGAGGATATGCATTGCCCACATTCATCCGGTGCACTGTTGTCAACAGCTCCGCCACAGCTGATAGCTCTGGTTTAGGCTTCAAAAAGCTTGCCCGGGCTCTTACACGATCAAACACGACGCCGGTCAATGTAAGTTTTGTTGGAAGGGAGAGCATTTTGTGTCCCGCGCTCCTCGGAGCTATGTTCCTGAGCGAAATGAAAGATTCGGATGTCGCCGTGGAGAATGCGCTGACGAGCAAAGTCGGTATACACCTCTTCCTTGGTTTTCCAATAGTCCGGCTTCATGAGGCGGCCTGGACCTAGGTCGGCATATGTAACTGACATTGTCGCGAATAATGCGTAGCTGAATGCGCGCAGGACTAGCAAGAACGGAAGGAATAATGGCACCAATCCCTCTGGGTACGTGATGCACAGGAAGCCCAGTACTGCCCACATAAGACGCTTGGCTATCGACCATGCCTCCGGCGCCGAGATCCGAGACCAGTTGGTGGCTATGAACACTAGCATGACTGGTAAGGGGGCCAACCACAGTAGGGAGAGGTAGGTAACTCGCATCTTGGGTCTTTCTTTGTAAATTCCCCCGTCACCCTCGTGACTGAATACTCCTAGGGATAAGAAAGCGAATATCCTGTCTTTAGGATTCGTCATATCTGTCTCTCGCGCAAGGTTCAAAATCGCAGCGATGTCCAGCTGGTCTGTTGAATAGCGATAAACTGCTGCTTCCTTTAGGTAACGTTCCAAGTGCAGCTGAATGTGGCAATGGATATTGGAACGATCGCGCATATACACTTCCTCAACGTCTATGCAGCGAAAGCAAACCAATGCGGCACAACGTATCAATTGGTCCCAGGCGATGATTTCTCCTCCCCAGAGAACATCGGTGCTCTGACCTAGTGCTGCTTCCTGGATGACCCAGCCACGATTGAACCAGGGCTGGGATAGCATTGGTGATGTTGTCTCTCTCTTCGGTGCTCAGCCGTGGGAAACCGTACCATAGACTTCGGATACCAGCCAGTAAACTGAGGTTCTGTCGAACATACGCATCTCGCTCCCGAATCAGTGATCCCGCTTTCCGCGCGTGGCCGTTGTCCCCGCCCCCCAGGTGAATCAGTACCCTAGACGCCCTGGCGTGAATTTGACCCATGAGAGCCACCTGGTGGCTCTTCTCTTCCTCGTCATCTTGGTTGATGCAAAGGGAGTCGGCCCAAAGGACTATCTGCTGACCAACATGGTCGCGAATTTGGTGCAAAGCTTCAAAAAGATTTGGCGTGATGTACGTAGTCTTGTCGTTACAGAGAATGACTTTGCTCTTCACGTTGGTGCCCCAAACGTAGGAGATTGCATAATAATAAGGCCCAAACATGTTTTTCGGTCCACGGACGTTGTCCAAATTCCATGTTTCCAACCGGCACCTCAGAGGCTCGGCAGACTGGCCTGCCTCGAGAACTAAACAACGAATGAAATTCCCATGTGGGAGCGACTGGTACACTAGCCGCTCTGGGATGTGCTCGCGATCCATCGACATTGGACTCGCGGAGGCTGTGGTCTGCTCAGTTGGCTCAGATCATTTGTGGGCTTGGTCCACTTGCAAACGGAAAATCAGCATCTAATGAAGATAGGAATTCAGAGAAAGCTCAGCTGGGGTCGAGAATTAGGAAAATCTTCGTTTTTCAGCATTTTGGCGCATCCTCCCGGGGCTGTGTACAAGTGGCACTGCATGCATATTGTATTTATCTTGCAGATAAGCGAGTGGCTGAGAAAGTGCCGGCACCGCAGCCAGCGCGGCTTATCTAGGTCGCCAGGGCAGGGGTGCTTAAGCGCCCAGTCACACAGGTACTGGGTAGACTGATAAGTCTTGAGTTGTGATCGTTGTTGTTTCCTAGTCTTGGGCATGTGAGTCACTTGATAACTATATTTTCGTATTCGTGTCCGTACTGACCAACTGCGCCAAGGGAAATGTCTTTTCCATTTTCCAGTATCCTGCTTTCGAACGCAATGGCTCAAGAACATCAAGCAGTAAGTTCATTCCCCTACTCAAAGGCTTTCGAAAAAGGACCTTGGGGGCCACGTCTACTGATGCTGCTTGGTGATTCAGCTTTGGGAGAAGAAAAGCAATAACTAACACATTGTGATTGCAGGTCTCAGCGAGCTTGGTTGCAACCGTTATGAACTATGCCACCTCTCTAGGTCTCGGATTAGGTGCAATAGTCGAGACTAATTCTAATAGGAACGGAACAGACCTTTTGAGGGGTTATGGAGAAGCTTAGTACTTAGGCGTTAGACTTGCTGCGTCTAGCATCATACTGATTGGTATTTTTGCTCCTTATGAGCATAGGAAGTCTGTTCAAATGAAGAAAAAAGGTTGTTATTAGGATAAGAGTAGCATGAAGTTGACATACTTATTAAACTATCTGCTGTGTAAGGGGCTGGCCCCTAGGCTTGTTCAACGTAGAGGTGCCGTCGATTGACTATTCTAAGCTGAAGAAGGAAGAAAGGACTTTACAAGGGTAGGCACCTAACAGCGGTGAAGCAGGCCGGGTTAGGCGGCGTACTGCGG